AGGTCTACAGTGAGTTACATGCTGTCGCGGACTTTTGTATAGAACTTTTAAAGGGGAACAATTCTGTCACAATTATATTACATGATTTTTACGCAGCGCACGTGACGGAAGCACTGACTTACAAATGGAATATTTTTTTTCGGGATTGCAACATTTTTCATTGGTGCTCCGCTCCTATTAGTGGTATCTTTATATTATATAGCCTTCTTGAATACATAGTCATATACTATCCGACACAAAATAATTTTCCAAATCGGACCACAGTTCCTGAGATTAACGCCTTCAACCAAACAAACACACTCTTCAGCTTTATAATCACACTAATATTTTTTGAGTTTTTTGAGTGTGTATGTTTGTTACTTCTTCACGTCTAAACGGCTCGAGTGATTTTAATAAAATTTGGTATGGAGTTAGCTTACAGGAAAAAATATCCCTAATATATATATTATATGTATATATATATATAGACATAGATATATATAGTCCATATTATGATATTGGTATGTTTTATACTATTTCGATATTTAAGATTGAATTGGAGTGCCCCTCTGGGAAAGGTCCAGGGTACCACGTTTATTTTTAAAGGTTGGCAAACAACATAGCTCGCCTGATGTTAAGCGGCCACCATAGCCTATAGACGCTTGCGATTAGGGTTACCATCCGTCCATGACATGTCTGGACTTTTGGTCTTTTGTCCGGACTTTATAATTTGTCCGCACTTTGTAAAGCTTTATAATTTGTCCGCACTTTTTCCGGCTTTATAATTTGTCCGGATTTTTTAAATTAGATGGAATATGAGTAAAATTACTTATTAAGTTATATAAGATAAGTCAAGTAATCTTTATTAAGTTCTCATTAATTTAAAACAACATCCATAAATCATCTTTAAAAATCAACAACGAGACCCCCCTCGCGATGCCAGCGTCTGTTACCACATGTATAATATCACTGTAACTAAGTGGGTGATGTTTGCATTTTGTGACTAAAATGTCCGGACTTTTATCGAAATGTCCGGCTTTTAGTCAGGACTTTTCAAATTTTTAAATAGTAACCCTACTTGCTATACAAAAATATCACTTGCGCCATTTCCCACCCTAACCCCATCCTCGGGGTAGGCCCCGTGGAGCCTTGGAACTCATTGACAGATACACAGCACCACCAAAAGGTTATTTTACTGTGGTCTTCTGTAAGGTGGAGGTTTCTTCCCCAGGGGCGCTCCAAGTCGAGCCGATAGTCCGTTATGCCCTACCTGTCTCTACGTTTTGGAGACTGGGTTCAGTGTGCAAAACTGAGTGAAGATAGCTGGGATTCTGCTACATCCGCTACGCTACTGATTCCACAGATGGTATACTTAACAGGTGAGGTTGGGTCATTTTCTACGCATTATACTAATAAAAGATGGTATAAAATCACTTCTATACCAGAGGTAAGTTTAGAAAAACCTATATTCTGTTCCTTGTATATGTTTTTTTTATCCATTCTTGAATGTCTAATGGGTCCCGACTGTTAAAGTAGCTTTGTTCCTTACTTAACAGAATTATAGACTACTAGACTTGTCCTTTTCTTTTGAGTTTTTATTTAAGTAGTATTTAAGCTGGCGAGTTTTTTGATTTTTTTAAATTTGCGTTTTTTTAGTTATCAAGCTTAGTTGAGCAATAGTCTTTATATTCACGAGACGATGAAGGAAATGCCCATCATTAAGACACGACTCTGTCCTAAACTAAAATAGAAACAAAGTAAGAATGTACCTAATAAGCGTCAACAGGCCGATGTGACGTCAATCTATAGGCGAAGTCCCGTCGAAATTGGCAATTCATAATAATAGACTGCCATGTAAATGTTCTATTATACAATATGATATTCACGTGTTAATCTATCTAGACTGTGATGTCGATTCTGGCGTGATTCGCTAAACTTAAAACTAAATTTAACATCCGTCTCTCCTTTTCATTATGTATGTAAAATGACAAGGATACACTTATGTAAAATGACAAGGATACACTGTTGTCAAATTTAAGTTTAGGTTTAGGGAATCATGCCATAATCGATACCTGTGTCAAATATTTGTATGTGTTTTGCCGCTACTGACGTGCCGTTGTCTAAGTAGTTTTATAGTTTAAAAAAAATAGTTAACGACCGCTAATACAAAACAATAAATAAAATGAGATCGAATGAAAATTAATTAAATGAATTAACTGTTCTACAAGGACGTAACAAAATACTAAAACAGATTTAGGAGGGACTAATCAAACTTTTTCGCAAAATACAGAATAGCTAGCTACTTTTGAGGCTACAATAAAAAAATAAAAAACAAATAAACCCGACTACAGCAAGGTCGTGAAAATCCCTGAGTGCCTCCACTCTCCCTCTCTCTTCACTTGATAAACTGCCTCTGAAAGAAGCCGTAAAGATGTTAATATCGCTGTCCTTTTATTAAATGATAAAAACTTTTTTATTTTTATTTTGATGGCCTTTCATACTAAAGTGAAATAAAATCAAATCATAATAGAAAAAAAGGTAAATTTTCAACTTTAGATCGATGTCTATTTAAATTTTATAACAATGACAATGGTTTAAGATTATGCTTATTTTTTTAACTAAAACCAATACAGATTAGTATGTTGTTTGAGTATGTTATCAGGGAAAAATACTTTTTCTCAGCTTCAAAATAAATAATGGTAAATCGTAAAGTGTACAAATTTACGTACGTACGTTGTGTACGATTGAAAAGTCCATAAACTCTACTGGATTAACGTTGTGCCTAAATAAATAAAACGTGCCGTTGGCTTAAAATCAATAACCAAAAACTTATTCCTACTATATTGTATTACATGCAAAGACGATAGGTATTTCAGTACTTTTGGGAATGTCCTAAATGCGGTTCGGTTCACAATGAGCGGTTTTACCGCAACCTGCAATAGGCTAGTTGACTCATGTCGAATTGTATTAAATAAATGTTTATTTCTTAAAGTACTACTATATTTTTCGTGGTATTTATTAGAAATAATGTTTTTTTTAATTTTAAACTCAGATAGTTTATTTTCTACGTGCTTACGAGATTTTATTTTTTACCCTGTTGACGTCATAGCATAGATAAATCTATAGACTAAAATGGCCCACAGCGTTTTGGTATGTCTATGGAAAGTCTATTTTAAAATTAAAGATTTGCAGCTTTCTAGGTCTCCATAAAATACAATAAATTTTTTTTTCGGTCTAATATCAATCACAATATAATAATCACCCATTTAAAACCTTTTTCCAAAAAGGGTCAACTAGCCTATTGAATGTTCGCGGAAATTGAAAGAAATATTTATTTCTTAGGTTTTCACACACATCACTCATTAAATAAAACAAGTATCAACGGGTTAGATGCACTGATTTTATTTATTAATTGACGTTTCGGATCCTTTGCAGGAATGCAAATTCATTTCATTTCAATGCAATTCATAATTATTTTGACGACGCATTCCTGCAAAGGATGTGAAACGTCAATGAATAAATAAAATCAGTGCATCTAACCCGTTGAAACTGGTTTAATTAAAAAAAAATAGCTATTCACGGCGATAAATCTGTTAATTTAATAAATGCTTTATACTTACAACTTACAACAAGTTCTTTTAATAGCAAACAAGAAAAAAAAAGAACGCAGTACCTATGTACCCATCATTACTAGATATCCAACATCATCACTAGAAATATATGACAATGGGTATTTTCCATTATCTCCTTCAACAAAAAAGACGAGGCGAACTAATGTATCGACGTGCACCGTAATCACGTTTCCGACTATTACGTGAATCCTTCACTACAATACAAAGTGACACAATGTATATAAAATCTGAGGCTATATCGTGCACTGCCCATGCCTACTATTGTTTATTGACTCGCGTGAGCAACTGTTATGGAAAAGTTAAAAAGACAAACAGTAGCTACACCAAAAAGCTGGGGGCCAATCGCCTAACGGCAATGCTATGGGAAACGCTAACGCTTACGATTTTATATTGTTATTTCTAGCCGCCTGAGGTTTTCGAATACCTTACGCTCATTTTTTTTTAATATTGTTATTACCAATGCAAAAGAAAAAGAAAGAGCGCGAGGCATTTGAATACCTCAGGCGGCTAGAATTAACAAAATAAAATCGTAAGCGTTAGCGTTTTCCAAAGCATTTCCGTTAGGCGATTGGCCCCCTGGAGGGTTAAAAAAAACGAGTGAGCTTTTGACCACACGACTGAAGTGAAACTTCTTTAGCTCCATCTGTATGTATATATACAGGGTGTTACAAATATACAAATAAAGCTTGAAGGGCGTTGAAGTACATCATATAAGGAGTCTACTCTATTTTTTTTTAAATATTTGCATGAAGTTTTAACTTTTTATAAAAACAGTTATTTTTAATGATTAATAAAAATATCTATCATTTTAAGACACGACACTAGTTCAAGGATCGTAATTAGGCTAATATATTATAATTATTTGTGATGTTTCAGATTCTTTACGGGTTCTGTGGTTAGAAAGTTAAGTTAAGTTTAGAAAACCCTCTATCTATATCCGTTATACATGTGTGTGTAACTGTGTGTGTGTATTATATAGCAAATGTGTGTATAGTAAGCAAATATGTCAACAGCCGTGAAATTTTTATTGTAAGTACTTTGCCAACGAAAAACAACTGAGTTTTGTGCATAGTTGGTGCGACATGTAGAACTTGCGAAAAGGAAAGATGATGTATTTGCACCGGGATGAATAAGAATCTAGCTTTTAAGCCCTGCAGAGGCCCAATTTTCTTACTTTTGTTACGTCGTCTGCATACTCTTTGAATTTATAACCACGGAGTCTGAAAAGGATTTCTGCGTCATGACATCATGGCCAACTCTCCCTATTTATTCTATGGCCTGTGCCCCAGCAGAGGAGGAGGAGGTTTTAAATCAGCAGGACATCAAATCGCAAATTATCTCTGTTATGTATTTTAAATATTATGATATAATATTATGATATAATGTTACCTGACTTCTCTCTTCTCGGCCTCTTCTTGAGACAGATCCTCTTCAACGGAGTAGTCGAGGATAGACTTCACACCGAAGGATCGCAATCTGTTAAAAATATAAATCGGTTATTTTCAAATAAGTGGATAAAAAGTAACAGCATTGCCAACTGTCTAAATGTTCCGCGTTATTTCGTTCAATAGTGAATAGAAACAGACTGCAGACATCTACAAAGAATTACTGATGTTTATCATAACATTTCAAACTCTTCTAAATCTTAATGAAATCAATCAGGCCACATACTTATTGCACATTAAGTAGATAATAACAAACAACAAACAGACGAAAACAGCTTAAATTCTAATCTTACTCAAAACTTGGCCGTAGATAAAAATATTTCACAAGAGCAATAAAATGTGGCTACAACAATATGTATGATGATGTTACAAAACCTATTAACGTATGCCTCTTCGACAGTAATCTATTTGCGGGTGGCCTATTTGTTTGCTACAACAATGTCAGTGTTGTTTAATCTCACACTTTTAAGACGTTGCTTCTCACGTATCGCAACATACGTTTCCAAATACTATTTAAATCTGACTCTGAACTTGACTCCGAGTATCAAAGTTTTCTTCTATATAAAAACACCCACCATCCAATTTATTAATATTATTTGTAATCTGCGATCCGTGCGTGCCACTATAAGCAAATGTGTTGGGTTATCCATACTAATATAAATGCGAAAGCGTATCTGTCTATTAGAGGAGTACCGCAGGGTTCTACTTCGGGTACTCCTCTCTTTATTCTTTATATGTCAGATATAACCAGATAGATATAATCAAATATAACCGACTACATCGAATATTGTAAATATCATCTTTAGGCCGATGATTCACAAATATATTTATCGTGTAAGTGTGATGTGATGATCTTCCTTTTGCAATGGAAAAAAATAATGAGAATTTAGAAAGAATTGTCCCCCTTATTATACAGCAGTTGCTTAAATTACTATTTTTTTTAAATTTAATATTTTATAAAGATCATATTCAAAAAGATTGGAGAAGAAGTTGGAGATTTCAACTTTATTGCGATGTACTAACCACATCTCCAGGGAAATGGGTCTCACAAGTAAATCACCCGTATGTACCTCGTTAGATACCAACCTCTCAACAGTTGGCTTTATCTTATTCTGGTCCTCGCCGGCCACGAACTGTCCGTAGAAGGTGGCCTTCATAATGACCTCGAACAGCCTCTTACCGACTACCTGGCGCAGCCTCTTCATCAACTGCGGGAGACAAAGTTTACAGAACATTAGAAAAAAAACTTCAGGGAGCCAGCGTTAGCTGTATAAAGAGTAAATGGAAAACGTATTATGTTTTCAACCCGCGACAGGATTTTTTAGGTTTTCTAATACATTATTCGTAGAAGGCGTCTACGGAAAAACCATAAGAAACTTTCTTACTTCTACTTTCAATTTGTACAAGTTAACGGCACCCAAGTCGCGGGCGAAAGCTAGTATATATATTATCATTGTTTGTAAGTCTATAGTCCTTGAAATTATTCTACCCTCCCTTTTAAACATTTGTGAGTGTAGTCCAGCCCAGTCGACGACGCACTAAAAATTTACAAAATATTCTCACATGACTTCTATTCACTTTTTCCATACGAATCAACTAATTTCGAAAGCCGCGTAAATAAATCTAGATTTAAAAACCGGCCAATCACAGTGTAGGTTTCCGTAGTTGCCTGTAGTTACCACAATATATTTGAGCAGGAGTCTTTCCTGTCTATATCGGAAATTAGAAAAAACAATTAATATCAATCTGTGTATCTCAACTCAAATACTTAAATCAAAGTCAAACTGCGTCTCGAACTCAAAATCAATTCGATATTATTATAATTTTAAATACGAATGATAACCGCCGATTTTTTTTTGTTTTCTCCTAGGCGGGGGAGCTGGTTTGAAATCCTCTGGATCCTTGATACTAATAACTAATCCTACAGCCGACTGCAAGGTTATGTCAAACTCTTGCTGACTAAAAGCTTCATCAGAAGCGATCATCCCCTGAGAAGGAAGAATGTTTTTGTACCATTTTGTCGTTGTGATCGATACATATCTCCGCAAAATGACAGCTCTCTAGTGCAAATAGTCTCCAAGCAAAACCGGGGACGAACAGACGGACATGACGAAACTAAAAGCAGGGAGAAATTGCCTATATTTAAATTCTGGGCTGAATGAGGATGGGCCCTATGAAGTTTACTATTCTCAACGATCAAGTTTGTTTGACACATTTGCTTGACAAACTTCCCATTTCACGTAGTAATTTGTTTGCTAACGCATCAAACATAGATAAATGTTTGGTGTCGCTACACTCCACGAGACCAATCATTTATCTATGGCAGCAAATATAGCCTTAAACGCTCAAAGTTTGACGAATACGTAAAGGACATTGCTCGTCCCCCATACATTGAATGCCCTAGAACGCACAGCAATGAGAAAATGCTAGTTGTGTTCGGAATCATTCATAAACTCTAATTAGGGATTTGTTGAGATACGGACAACTTGAGGAACCGTGGCCTACTACAGAATGTATTACATTTTGAGGTTATAATTATTATACTTAAACGTAAAAGATTTACACTTTATTTATATTTTGAATAGATTTAGTGTTTACCTCTAAACTCCTAACTAACTCTGTAAACACTTAAATAATATGCATTAAATGAACATAAAATGCAATTAATAATAAAAATAATAAATGCTTATATTCATATTGATTTTTTAGTGTTGGCAGTTGGCACTTATGATATCTATACCTACCTGTTGTAATAATAGATTTCTTTTCAAATGAAATGTTCAGTCTTTCCATTTACCTGTGTCTATATTTTACTATCGGTAATAAGGTATGTACCTGTTTATCATTATGATTTTCATAAAAATAAATAAATATTATATAGGATGGGAGTATAAACTATCATTACATAATTTCAGAAATAATCTTTTTATAAATGTAATGTAACTACTAGTGGTAAGTATTATTAACTAAGGTACGTAGTGCTATTCTTATGTTGATAAATACCTATGGTCGCACAACTTTCTAACAAAATCACCCATTTAAAAATAAAATAATAACAAAGCCAATAAACTATTAAAATAAATCGTTATTATAGACTGAAACCTATTGAATCTAGTTATCAGTTGATTTTTAATGCTGTATTTTCAATATGAAGGAGTGCCAAGATTGTTTACCAAATAGGACAAGTTAGGATGAACAGACTAGTATCTAGTAACAGAATTTTTATTTTTTATTTTTTTAAACAGATTGTCCGTTTACTATGATTAATTGCTAATAAATTAAAAAAATAATAGTGAAGGGCATTCTTTTGGGCATGCTAGGGCCGATTTCGTCGATGTCCTTTGACACACTAATTCGATCTCTCAGACCTTTTCTTGGTCTGAGTTCGATCTTTACAGGGCTCAGAGTTTGGTAATTCATGTTGCAAAAACATTGCCAACATTTTTTTAAAGAACTCAAAGCAAGTTTACAACATAACGGAACGTAAGCGATCACGTGGACCAACGTTTTTGTTAACGCTCGTCGCGAAGAGGTAATAATATCATAGTAAGTAATTTCGAACAGTTGCCTCAAGGTCATAGCCGGTTGCCTATTCAAATGCCAATTGTTTAATGATGTCAAACTGAATCACCAGACGGAAAACGCGGGTCGTAAAATAATAATAAATAATATAGGTAAATAAATATTTCCAACACTCACACCAATTAGCCTAGCCCCAAAGTAAGCACAGTAAGGCTTGTGTTATGGGATACTAGGGTAACGGATAGAATACATGTACTGTACATATTTAAGTATATTTTTATAGATATACATATGAAACATCCATGACTGGAGTACAAACGCTCTTATTCATCACACAAACATCTGCCCCCACCGGGATTTGAACCCGGGACCTCTCGAGTCGGCGACACCATGAAACCCGGCGTACAAACCACTCGACCACGGAGGTTGTCGAGTCGTCGTGTGTTTGCTATTTTCTTTTTGTTCGAATAGTTTATTTCTATACTCATCTCAACATCATCATCAGCCTATTAATGTCCCTACTGCTGGGGCACTGGCCTTGCCTATGGATGGAATAGAGAGATTGGGCCATGACCCACCAAGCGGGCCTTGTGCGGATTGGTGGGTGCTAACGACTGCAGATGCAGCCGGGACCAACGGCCTAACGTGCCTTTCGAAGCACGGAGGACCCATCCAATGACCGACTACTGTGAAATTTGCTAACTCCTCGTCTCAACCTCGTTTATGAGCTCTTATCAATATAATGAACAGTTGAAATTACAAGTGCCTGTAATTTGTACTTAAAGCGAGTAGTCCAATATTTATTATTGGTAAAACAACAACTTGTGACCTTAACAAGCATTCAGTATTATTCTGAGTGCAGCTGGTGAAACAAAAATAAAGAAAGCGGATAGCGTCCGGATAGCGGAGGGCGCAGGTTCGAATCCCGTCTGTTGCCTAGACCGCGTGGAATTTTTTTCTAGTAAAATTTTCTTTAGATTTCAACATCTAGTAGTCAAATGCTTAAACTAAAAATATAATAAACAAAAGTAAAGTTGCATTTATAACTAACATCCCCATTTTAACCACTCAGGGTCTGAAGTTGAAAGGACATTGGGCAAAAATGTATGGATGATGCACCCACGTGCGCCACGACTTAAACTACATTTGTTTGAAAGCTATTATAGTCATGATCATATGTGACAAAGCGCATCAAATTCCATCCCGGGGGTCTTTATTTATTTTAAGTAAAATAGGTTCAAGTACTACCTATAACGAACGAACATTAATAAAATAAAGGAATTAATTTATTTAGTTCGACCCTACATAGAGGGCTCAGGCATTATGGGAGTACTCCTAAAGGTCCTTACATAAATAGTCGCGCTAGAGTAAACACATGGGCATATGCCCATGCCATGCCCTTTTGACTACCAGGATATTTTTTTACGGTGTCTTAATAAAAAAGGCTAGTTTTTCATAGATCTATCGATTCATACTAATTACATTGTTGGCGGAGCTGGGTGTGTTTTGCACATTGTTCTTTTAAAAATACCCTTTATTTTACTCTGACTGCTCGCCGCGTATGGCCGCTTCAAAGTGGTGATGTTTTGAAAATCCTTTCTTAGGGGAAGCCTTTGTCATAATAATTATATTGGGTATCTTGCGTACCAAATTTTAACTTATATAATTCGTTCAGTTCTGTTATAATTAGTTTCAGCTGTGTGTTGGTTAATAGACCATTCAGTCATGCAGTACTAGTTCCGTAATTTTAAGCACTTAAATGCCAGGGGCCCAATTCTCGCGGCGTAGATATTATATCACCTTCGATATATATCGAATGAACAGGCTTTTATCGAAGGAAAACCATTTTGCCCTATTCTCACCATGTCGCAATAGATATTTATCTACGGATGATCAGTAGACATACATCGACTGATAAAGAGCCTTCGATATATAAATATCTATAGATCTTGGCTTGTCAATATTGTCATTTTCTCTTATTTTACTTATTAATCATTGGGTTTTCGTGTGTCATTGCCAATTATTGTTACCTAAAGATGTTATTAACTGCCTTCTTTAATAATTAGTAAATAAAGAAGTAGGTAAACAATATATAATAACGATGGATGAGTTGATTCATGTTTTCGTCAATGACTTAATAAATGAAGCGACTGCTGCTGCTGTGCCAAAGCGCCGCCGTTGTGGGAGCAGGAGGACCCATTTTAAATGAGGGAGGCCGACTTCATAAAAAATTACGTTTAAACAAAAATTTCGTTAGAAATCTTTAACGTGGCAAATAATTGTGACAAATAAAGTTATGAATGACGTTTTATTATTGACGTTTCGGAGTTTTTGGCGGGATTTCTTCAAGTGCGGTCGGCGTCTTATTTTCATTATTCTAAAATTTGTTCAGTGTATATTGTGAAATAAAATTGGTGTGATTTTATGTTACAACCGTCTGCGCAGTTGAAGAATTAGTGGTATCATTAAAATATACGCTATTCCGGTCAAGTGGACGTGAGAACTTTATTATCCTCATAGAAGCTTATCGAAAAAGCCAACTCCATACATTTCGTGCTAAACACTCCAAGCAACATTAGAATGCGTCACACCGACATTCTAATGTAAAAAAAGAAGATTAATATAACTAAAAACTGGACTGTATGGGAATTGTTCCCTTTGCCTTCCCTAAAACGGGAGAATCTTA